CTGGCAGGAACTTATTCCTGGAGAAGTAACTAATTTTTTACTGATGGTTCATCTCATAGTAAAGCTGCTTATCCTGCAATGCATTCAGAGCAGTCATACTTCTGTACTAATAATTGAATTAAAAGCTATCAAGTTTGCATTGCTGGATTTTCAAAAGCCAAAATATTGTACAGCAAGCAAAAAATGTCCTCCTTGCAATTTAAAACAAACAAACAAACAAAGCAGGTGGATAGTAGAATAATCTCCTGTAAATAAATTACATCAAGCCTTAACTGCTTTACATTTTTTCACTTTGAAATTTTTTCACTTGTAATGCTGATGGCAAGACACACGTGGTATCAGAATAAGCCGAAGGAAAAGGGTTTGGAAAAATGAAAAGATTCCGAGTCCAGTTTATAGAAAGGATTCCTTTATTAACCTTTGGCCGAGGATATGCTCATATATTTCCAGAAAACTCCTCCAAGCCCCTGTGGATTCCTGCCACAATGGATCCGAGAAGGGAGCTAACCAGACTACTCCAGCCACAGACGGCGGGCGGTGGCCCCAAGCAACATGCTGACAAGACAAAGGAAAAAGAGTCCGGAGATGGGGGATGGTAAAGACGCCTGGCCATGCTAGGCAGTCATCAGCTGTGCATCGGCGCAGGTTGCCCGGGACCAAGCCAAAGAAGGTCAGACCTGCATTGCCACTGCTCACCGTTTGTCCACTATCCTGAACCAGAGTATCATTGCTGTCCTGTCACAGGAAACAGTGATTGGGAAGGGAACCCATAACAAACTGTTGGACAGTGATGGGGAAGGGGACTCAAAGAACTGTTGGCCCAGAAAGGAGCTTACTGCAGACCGATTCCTTCGATGCCTGGCAGCAATTTAAAAGGACATGAAAGAACTCAATCCTTTCCATTGAATTTAAAGATCTTAAAAGGACCCGAGCTCTGCAAATGGCATACATTCTTCTTAAAGTTATTAAATCTAAAAAGGGGGTATGCTCGAGGCTAAGAACAGTAGTTAGCATAATAAATGCGAGAAGTTCATCAGAAGGCTGATGGACACGTCAGCAGGGCTGAAGACCTGAATATTATTACCTGCCGACAAACACCTGAGGGCAATTCCCCTAAACTGATAATCCTTTACTGTTTTACCAAGCCTTACCTTTGATATGCATATCTGCTCTACTAAAGGGCAGAATGTTTGAATAAAAAGCCATGGGTCTGGATATTCGGGGAGCCACCCCACTAGAGAGCTGGTGTCCACCTGGCTTTCCCCCGTGCCTTCAAAATTTATATTTCTTGTCTAGTCTCTCTTCATTTATGTGTAGCCCTTCTCCATTCCTGAACCCTTGCTGCGAAAAGACTGCAGCAGAGAGGAAAAGAGGGATAGAAATATCGATGAGAGAGAAACATTGATTAGCTGCCTGCTGCACGCCCCCTACTGGAGATGGAGCCTATAACCTGGGCATGTGCCCTGACTAGGAATCCAAGTGGTGACCTCCTGGTTCGACACTCAACCACTGAGCCACAGGGGCTGGACATAATTTACTTTCTCTTAAGGGTCATAGGATATTATAGTGAAAATAAGTGTGGCCTAGATACAAATAGAAAGAGCTTCATTTATTATAGGACATACTAATTTAGGAAACTATACTGTTATAAAATCCTGAGTTTTCTTATGCCCAATATTTATGAATTAAAAATGTCACCATAAGCCCCAACAAATGTGGATCAGCTGTCCCATGCACCAAGCGGTCTTACGTTCAATTCCTGGTCAGGGCACATGCCTGCGTTTGTAGGCTTGAT